TAATGATCTGAATCAGAATGTCTTTATCCTCATTGTGTAAACAATGAATTTCATTCAGTGCAGCTCAGTCTGGAGCAGAGGAAGTGGTGGGTCACAGGGTGTTTGTAGGAATGTGTGAGAGAGATAGAAAACTATTTCAACAATAAACTGAGCTTCCCATAATGTTTGATAACTGGGATCAATATTCACAGCTGTAATAACATAACATAGTCAAAATATATAAATAAAACTTGGTATATAAGTTATGTATTGCTCTGATTAAATAAATGTTACTTTGACCAGAATCACGCTCGCTTTATTTTGAAAAACCTTGTTCTTCCTCGCTCTTCCTCTGACTCATCTCTGTGTCCACATTGCCAAATCCTCCAGCTGCTCTAAATTTATCAGATTCACTTAGAGGAGCAGAAAGTAAAGACTTACTGACCAGTGGTCAAAAGAGTACAAGCCAATATTTACATCCCATTAAGAGAGTTTGATGTTTAAGAATCCATTTGTTTTCATTAAAAGATGCAATTTCCAAAAATTACTTTTATTTTAGTGTAGCTTCAGTAAAACAGGAATATCCCAGGATAAAAGGAGCAGAAATAACAGCCTTTGTTAAATTCAGACAGAAAACATTTTCACAATAATTTTCCATTGGATAGGATGGTAAAACTCACCTCGAGCCCATTTACGGTATGTGTAAACACACAAGATTAGTATGATGGTGTAGAGGATGAAGAGCAGAATGAAACTAATCACTCTGATCCAAGGAACATCGGGACCAGGAGGAGGAGAAAGAGGAGAAGGAGGAGAAGGAGGAGAAACTTCTGCTTGGGGAACTCTAGCTGCAAGCAAAAAAATAAATAAATATTTTATTTAATTTATGGAAAACGATTGCTATAAAACTTTCAGTCACAATACAAAAAGGAAGAACCAGAATCAGGTTCATCCAGCAAGTTATTGTCCACCAGAAGTGCTGAAGTCCAGACCTCAGGAGCTGCAGCTCTGCAGCCTTTAGATGCATCTTTACTCCAACAGACCTGAATGCAGTCAGTCTGTAATGAATCAGTCTCTGATTCAGGCTGGAGCAACAACAACAAGGCAACTTGAAGATTGTTGGGATCTGCAGAGGTTTTAACCTTTACTGGCCTGTAAACGTCTAAGGAAACCTGCTGGATAGAAACTTTTTAAACGGTTTTCAATAATTAATTGAGCAAACCATATAGTTTGACAGCTAGGGTCGATAGGTATGTCTGCATGATTGAACTGAAATTGTGTTTTATAAAGTGCCTTGAAACGACATTAAGACAAATATAAATAAACTGAACTGAATTGAATTAAAGTGATAAGCTGAACTTAATATGTTATGTATTTGTAGGATCAGGGCATGAAAATATCAGTGCCAATAATCATCTATTGGTAAATTACAATTTTATTAAAAGACTTTGTTGGAGTGTCTTTTTGACATAAACTGAAAACAAACATCTACTGCATTTTATCTCATAGTTTTAGAACATTATTACAGGATAATTAACGTTACTTCTGTCAGAACATTCATGTTCAAATTATTATTTACTTAAATAAAATAATATAACCAAGAAAAACAGGTTTCTTTAGCGTGTGTTTTGTAGGCAACGCTTTGGAGATTGTGGTGAATCATAGGCAGTTGCCTATTTTGTTTAAAATTTTAACCAAAATCCACCTTTTCTTAAAGGTAACTCAGTTCTGACAGCCTGAATGAAACAAAGCAGTCGATCTTCACCTCTCACTTCCAGCCAGCTCTTCAGTGACTCTCCTTTAAAAGGATGGCGACACTTGTAGAAACCTTCCTTTGCTTCTATGATCATTTTCCCTGGTTTCTCTCTCCCAATGAAGACATCATCTCTGTAAAACTCAGCATCAAAGTCTGACGTGGATTTGCCATATGGTTCTTTGTAGGAACAACCAAGTGTCACATTTTGTCCCTCAAAGACAGGATATGAAGGACTCTCAAGGATCACGGTTTTATCTGAAATGAAAACCATTTTATAAGAGTTATACTAACTTAAAGGGGTTAAAATAACCTTAGAGTAAATTCAAACAAGATGCATGTCCATTACCAGTAACAGTGAGATTGACTTTGTTGCTTCGTTCTCCTTGTTCAGATTCACACCAGTATTCGCCGGTGTCAGTTGGGTAAGCATCTTCAATGTTGCAGGAAGATTCTCTGGGGATTCCCCAGCCACGCTTACATTCCTCAGTAGTTTTGTCTGCAATCATCCTCATCACTCTCAAGCCACTGGAGCGTGTCCCACATGTAAGAGTGATACGGTCATGG